GAAGCAAATGGAGATCATGTATTTTACTCTTATTTATATTAAGAGACTGATTTAAAAGTTCTACAGTTGTTCATTTAAGAAATTTTCACAAGCTTAAGATGCTTAATTAGACAAGAGTTCCATCAGCAACAAATAACTTCAACTTTTCCCTGATAGAACATGTTATAACCAGCTTTTTCAGTCTTTCAAAAACATCAAGTCTTGTTGTGAAGATCTCAAACTGAAGAATTCTGTTGCCTTACAATTTACTTAAAAGATCACAGGAGATTGTACACATGACGCACTCTGCGCGTGTTCTAGTGCTCAAACTCAGCAGATGTGATGTCAAACCGTTTCAAGGAGTCAAGATTTGAAACGTCAACCACAATTTTCCCCCTTATCTGAAAGCTCAGGGTGTATTACCAAGAGGCCAGCAAACCAGATAGGGATGTCGACGCCTGTGGTAATGCCCATCCTGCAGATAAAGTGGAAGTAGAGGCTTTGTTTCCCATGCCTATATGCTTAAGAGAGGAGTGTGATGAGTTGTTTCCACGTGTGATCTCACTGTATACGTCACAGGCTACAGGGGCCAATCTCTAAACAAATAAGATGTTTTTTGTTGGTTTTTTTTCCTCAGCGATCTGAAGCTGCAACACAACACATCACCCTGATGTATAGAGGTCATTCTACAAAACTATGTTACAAAAATCCTTCAAATATAACTTCAGGTCTGACTTGATTAAAGTCCGGTTTGATTGGACATTCAGAGCTTATTATTAACATTTGCAACAAGATGTCATCTCAATCATTTCTTCATATAGACTTAGACTTAGACTCAACTTTATTTATCCCTTGGGATTACTCCTTCAGGGAAATTCTGGTTCCAGCAGCTTATATAGAGTACAAAGATTTAAAGCAAGATGCCATTAAAGATAAAAATACAACAGACAATATAAAAAGAGTGTATATAGTACAAAAAAGGATAAAAAAGGAAGAAGTTGTAATGTCCTGGAATATGTTTCGCTTAGATATAAAAATATCTGCACAGTAGAGAGCTAAGGGAAGACTACACAGTAGATTACTTGGGTTATTCCACTTGCACTGTAGAACCGTACTGACCATATAAATAAGTGAAAATTATACAGACTACACCGTAGTTCACTTGTATTATTGCACTTGTACTGCAGAGATGTACTGAACTTATAAATAAGTAAAAAATTACACAGGCTACACAGTAGTTGGCATATGTTAGTGCACAGTAAGAGAGAAGAATATTGCACGAGTAGCAATAGGTACTGTTTTGCATGAGATGTCCCAGGAGGGGGGTGCAGACCCTTATCCCTCGTCCTTTCACCTCCTCATTCCCCCAAGTGTACAGCTTGATGGCTTGAGAAACAAAGGAGTTCAGCAATATGTTCTGCATTTGGGGAGAGGCAATCTCCCACTGAAATCAGGCTCCTCTGAGTGGTGAAGACAGGGTGCACAGGATGGCTGACATTGTTCATAATGTCCAGCAGTTTGGTTATTGTCCTTGTCTCTACCACCAACCCCAGAGGGTCCAGCTTCTTGCCAATCACAGAGCCGGTTCGCCTCACCAGTTTGTCCAGTCTGTTCAAACTGGTGTCCTTCATGGATGTGCTGCTCCCCCAGCACACCACGGTGTAGAAGAAGACTGGCAACCACAGACTGGTGAAATATCTCCAACAGCGTATTACAGATGTTGAACCACCTCAGTCTCCTCAGGATGTACATCCCTTCTCTGTCTTCCGGTGCAGGTGGTTGGTGTGTGTTAACTAGTCCAGTTTATTGTCTAGCCACACCCCAGGATATTTGTATGAATCCATGGCCTCGATCTCAGCCCGCTCCAGTAGTACCTGCTTACTCTTGGTCTGTTCCTCCCAAAAGTCTATGACCAGCTCCAGGTGGTTGGTGCAGCACCAGGTGGCAAGTCCCCCACCAGAATGCTGTACTCCTCTCTGTTGTTCGTGATACAGCCCACGATGGTTGTGTCATCTGCATTCTTCTGTGTGTGACACATCTCAGAGTTGTAACAGAAGTCTGAGACGTATAAGGTGACAAGGACAGGGGCCAGCACTGTGCCCTGGGGGGCTCCAGTGCTGCTCACTACAGTTTCAGAAATATATTTCAGAGATTTAATTCAAAGGCTAGATTATTCTCTGTGACTGTAATTTGTATTAATTAGCCCAATTTAATGCAGTAGAGAAAGCTGTTCAGATTTCAAGTTAAGACCTGCACTTGTTTCCATTTTAGTTGTTGTTTATTTAAATGTTCATTAGTGAAGATAAGTCAGACAATAAATCTACTGCAATGCTGACATCTAGTGGTGCAGTCACATTTACACGCAAACATGCAGGGCCCAGATTAGGAAATTCTTTTTTTTTTTTTTTCCTGGGATATTTATTTTGATTTTTTTTTTTACTTGTAGTTTACAAACGTTTTCTGGTATACAAAGGAATACACATATTGGGAAAATAATCAAAGAGAATCCAGTGAAGTAATGATAATATGATTAACTAAATGTTTTTGTACCGAATGATGTTATTGTGGCTGTTTTATGTCAAACAGAGGGCGACTGACTGAGGGCGGTGATGTAGTGCAGTAACAAGGCACACCGGTCAGTTACCACTAAATGACATCAGTGTCCCCGTGAGGTCATGTGGCCACACAGAAGAGACCTGATGTCCTCCTGTTTTCTCTGCTGGAGTGATTTGAAAAGGCTGCAGGATGCAAGATGCAAGAGACAGGTATTTTTAAAAGGAGTGTGTTTTTAAAACTTGTTGATGGGGTGACTAAATATACCAAACTATGAGAAAAAAATCCTGAATTCCCATCAGCCATTGGAGTATACTGTAACACTTTGAAGCCACTGCATTTCTTATCCAGTTTAAAATTTCCCCTGGTTGTTTGAAATGAAAGAGAACTAAAACAGTTCATTTGTACACTTTGTGTGTTTCACCTACCCCTACAGCTTAAACGGCCAAATTATTCCGCAGGTTTTTTTTTTTTTTTAATTTTTAGCAAAGTTTTCTTATCCTTTCAACTCTCTTTGCATGTTGTTAAAAATGTTAAAATCAAAAAATTCTATTCAAAAAATATATAACGCTTGTTCAAAACCTTGTCATTGTCTTTGTAGAAATCCCTCATTCTGAGCATGCAAGTAGCATCACTGGAAAGAAAAACTCACTTTTAATATGAAGAAACCTCCAGCAGAACCAGACCCCTTGTGAATAGGAATCTTCCACAAGTGACAGGGAGTTTGATAAGAGCATATACTCAAAGAAACAACAACAAAGTATTCAAGTCTAGGAGATGAAATAGAGCATGTAGCTTTAGTTACAATAAAAGCTTGGCCAACATCTGCAGGTTTAACCACAGAAAGACAGGAATAAATGTATGATTTATAGGAGCAGACAGCAGATGCTCAGCTGATGCAACTTCCAAGGCTAAACTTGACTGTATTTCATTGGGATATTGTGTGACAGACCAATACTGTAACCTGAAAACTTTTCTGTGTCTGTCTATACATTAAACATGACAAATTATACATATTATTCTCTTTCAGAAGGGACTGGCCTATAAAAAGAGGAAAAACTTCAGTATGGCACAAGTAATTTAAAATCGAGAGCCTTAAAATAACTTTCCCACCAGATGGCGCTATGATCCAGACTCACCGCAGCTGATTGACGTTTAGACATCTGTGGGCCTCACTGGAGTTTCATCTTCCAGGCAAATTAATATAGTTGTTTTATTTATTCTTGTTTGTTGTTGTTGTTTCAGAAAAAAACGACTGATTTTAAATTAGAGAACATCTGAAAAGTTGAAAGAAGTCCCAGTAGAGGAAAGGGGGGTTAAAAAACGAGATAATTTAGAGAGCAAAGTTTGGAAGTGTGCTTATTTCATAAGAGAGGGACACATGAATGGATCATAAATCACAATAAAAAAAAATGAATAGATAAAAACCCTGTAACTGCGTTTCAAAGATTTTTTTGTGTGTAAAACTTAGTTTGCTGCTTAGCTGATGCAAAATTTATAATCACAGAAGAGCACAATACAATTAAACAAATACAATAAGACTGAACAACGAAATGAAAAGGTATTTCCTGCAATTTGTAATTGATGTTTGTAATTGTCCGTTTAGATGAAATGGGCATTGTAACCATGAGTGTGGATACAAGAATTATTATATATCAGTCAGGATTTTCTGAAATTTTCGGGAGCCCCGAAATAAATGTTAACTAATTTTATTGAACAACAGATCAAATTAACCATCAAACAAATCCTAAATAATATTACAAAAATAAATAAATGATTTATCTTAACTGTAACTATCCAGTATAAGAGTTTCCAGATATACACTTTTAAAATGAATGTGTGGCTCTTTAATAAACGCAGTTCAGACAAAAAAGTTTTTTTTTTATGAATAACTATAAACATTGTGTAGCTATCCCTTAGCAATAAAAGGGATTTCTTTTTTCAATTAAATCTTTACATTTTCTACTTTTAAGTTTGAAAAGAAGACTAACACTAGTGCTCAGAAATAGTCATTAAATCAAGAATTATCCTACAAAGACTTTTTCCACACAAGTTTTGATTTAGAAACGTTTTAAACGTTACAGGTAAAATATCATATCACTTAGCAAATAATTAAATAATGTGTTACGAGTCTTAAGAAAGGGTTTCTCAAGCGTTATAATAATCAAACATAAAATATGTCATTTTTCATGGATAAAATAAGAGGTAGGAGTTTGTCTGTGTGGGTGGGGGGGTATCAACTTCTTATTTTATATTCATGACAAACAGGCACAATTAGAGGGCTGAGGGTCCCTAATAATGGCTCCCAAGCAATTCACACATATTTATTTCTGCATTTTAGAAGTTTCAAGCCAGGGAGTGAAATCCGGACAGGTTGTTATAGCTACGCAATCCACAGGGGTTCTGATGTCTATTTAAAATCCCGAGGACCCTCCCTCTCTCCTTTAAACAACATTATATATCACACACACACTGCATGCTAATGCAATCTCAGTGAGCACTAAAACACATCTTAAAATTAGCTCATTCCGACTGACAGGGCAACAGAAGGAGCATATCATCTGAATTTCCCCCTTTGGCGATACCTGCTGATTGGGTCCTTAAAAAGCCAACGGCTTTTAACTTTTAATATTTGGCTCTTCACTTCTGCACAGAGTACTAGGGATAGATAGATTTTTTTTTTATCTCTCTCGGTCTTGGAGGATTTAAATAAAATCAATCAGTTTGTAAAATCGTTTTATTTTATTTCTCTACTCTTGAGTTCCGAGCTGTCCGCGCGGATGAGCGCGCGCGTTGGCGTTCTGCTGGAGAAGTTCTGCCAAACTTTAAGGATGATATACCTTGGATGCGTTCTGCTGCTCTGTGGGCTTAAGCATGTTATGGCAAGCTATCCCATCTGGTGGTAAGCTTTATCTTTATCTTTTTTCCTTTTTTTTTTTTTTTAACATATTAAACAGACGGTGACGTGATTTTGTTAAAATGCCCGAGAAGCGTCTGGTGATCCTCAATGTGCGACAGTTTGAGCGTCTGCAGTTTCAGTTTGTTTTTCTGACAGCAGCAGGACACTTCTGTCTGCAAACAGCAATGATCCTCTTCATCTTCAGCGCATTTAGCTCATCATTAATACTACTTTGGAGTTTACTATGAATAATAACAATCAAAAATAAGATCATATCACACACATATATATATATGTATATATATATGTGTATATTAATTCACCATGTTGAGACAAACCAGGTGCGTCTACAGAAAGTTTGAAAAGGGGGGCAGTCAGATGGTGGTCCAATGATAATGTTTGGGAGGCACACCAAAATCCAACAGAATTATGGAAGTTTGCTGTCATTTAAGATATAATGCAGCTCAGGTAGTGACTGCACAAAAATGAATATTGTCATACAAAAAAGGCAAGTGTTGCAACTCATAGGTATTGTCTTCTGATCTATCACATCATACTCTTAAAATACACATTTTTTTACTTATTTTTTTGGCAGCGGGGAAATGTGGCCGTGAGAGTTATTGAGTTTTATTTTGATTTGGGTCAAATACTCTAGTTGTAGTATTAAGGATAGATATCAGACTTTTCTCTAAAGTAAATCAAAGTTACAACAATATAGCTTGTTCTTTATAAAATTTTTAATGATCAGGTTTTATTGTATGGCAAGAATTTGTTGTAAAACATTAATTAATCAGGATATGATGGACTAGGTAACATAATAACTGATGGGAGTTTTTAACTCTTGGTGTTATAGCTGCCTTTTCTCTTAATTCATTTTTTTATTCATATCACAGATCATTTTGAACTAACTTTTGCAATGCGTTGCTTGATTTATGCTGCTGTGATTTAAGCAAATCACATATGTAACCAAATTGATTGGCTCAGTTTGGTTATTCTCTGTTCATGTGCTTCAAACGCTTTGTTTTTTTCCCCTTTCCCACTTTTTTAAAAAATTTTTAACATGTTAACCTAACGTAGAATAGGACAGAAAAGAAAAAATAGAATTCTGTTCTCAATTCAAACAACAGACAATGCTGTAAAATATATAATTCTTGACAGTGAGTGAGAGAAAATTTTCAGGTATTTAGGTCAGCTTCAAGTCCTACCAAAAAACTTAAAAAACAATCCACTTTGATGATGTTTTGCTCCCCATTCAGGAAGCTTTTTCAAATCAAAATGTCCAAAAAGCTTGAAAAAGCCTCCTTGTTGGGAAGCGAAACGTCCTTAAACTTGGAAACAAAGTCCAGTAGATTGTTTTTTTAACTTCTTTGGAATGATTATGACCTTGATGACTGAGAATGTTCACCAGCAACACCATAAAAAAAATGAAATGACAATGTTTTAGAGCCTAAACCATAACCTCCCCTGTATCTTCATGATGCAGACAACATTGGAAATCCCTTATTTTATACTGTGTAGCTTGTTTAGAAGTCATAAAACCTTTTATTTAAAGTCTAAACAGGATTCACAGTCAAGCTCATTTTTTATTGGACATAATGACTTACTTCTGCAATTTGAAATAAAAATCACTGTTGCAGTAGCATGACATGTAACAGATTAGAGTTCTTGAAATATGTTTCTGCATATATTGATTTTTTTTCTGTCTAATTTAAATTAAATGACAGTGTGTTACAGGAAGCACTTAGAATGATCAAGCCACTGAGGGGTAATGCATTTGAACTGGCTAACAGCAGAGGTTTGTTGGCAGAATCAGCTGTCACTTTAATAACAGAACTAAAGATGTTAAAGTTTCTGTCTTACTCAGCAAATTTGACTCAGATCCATATCCTGAATGTTTTCTGTGAGTTTGGACTATATGAGAATTTTAAAAGATATCATTAGATTTGAAAACTTCACTTAAAAAGGTGACAAAGTAACAGTAAATGTGTGGTTATTGGGGACTTAAGTTTAATGAATGTAAAAGGCATATGAGGTATTGCTGTCTTAGAAGTAAGAGCTTGAACAGGGAGCCATTTATGCAAGTACCATAACTCCAGCTGACAAGCATGTATAATCAGACATTTAGGATCTAAGACAAAAAGGCTAACAGCTCACATCCAAAAATGATCAGAAAAAATAAAAAAATCATCTAATATATTTTGGAAATGTATCTAAATTGCAGAATCAAATTTTTTTTTAGATGCTTACACGTCAAGGCTATTCGGGTAGATCATTGTGCACCAAGTATTTTAAGGTAGGCAAAAACTTATTGTCTGAGGAATTGAAGATATAGCAAGGTTTTAAAAAGGAAAAACATAAAAAGTTGTTGTGGCATCAAATTTATTCAGGGAGGGCTGAAATGACCAGTGGTTTGAGGCATTCAGGAATGCATTGCTTTTCTTCCTCTACCTGTTTCTAAACACTGCTGATCATTTAGCTTAAAGTGGGCTAACAACAGGAAAATGTCTCCAAAAAAAATCTTCATCTCTGATGTGAAAGAAAACTACAGTTATAGCATTGAAACCATTGTATTGTTGTCAGTCTCTTATTTTCAGGTGAATCTGTTTTATTTATTTTTCCTGAACCCTGGCCTCGCTGGTGTAAAACCATGTCATGTTTTATCTGGGTTATTGTACTAAAATCTTCTTACAAGGGGACATTTATTCATTTTTAGCTGAGGCTATAAATGGCATACATTCTACTAAAAATCCCACATGAGCCAAACTTTTTCCACTCTTCGTTTTTATGTCAGCAGGCTCTGAGGGCACTAATGTCACGTTTGCTAAAAGCTATCCATCAATCACAGCCGTTTTTGTACAGTAGAACAAAAATAACCAAAGATGGCCAGTTTCCAATAAATCACCCAATATTTGGCAACGCTTTGAAACTGGGTGGACCTTAAACTACTTCCATTAATGGGTCCCCTGGTGTTTAGACTGATGAGAAACTAATTACACACGCGGCTGGAAGGAAATCCTGATATAGCACTGGTGCCAATGGGCAGACAGATGGAAAAAAAACAAGACCCTATCATTCCTATCTTCCAACATGTTTAACTTTTTTATCAAAGGAACATCTTTTTTTTCGTATTTATTTCTTTTGATAATTTTTTTTTTTCCATTACCCACTTTGAAACAGATAAAAAAAAATACCTAGAGGCAGGTTTCCACTCCGTCACAGTTAAAATCATGCTGCAGGTGTAAAAATCTGAGAGGTTAAATTTGGATTTTGGAGAAAGCAATTACAGGCGCTAAACAGAGCCAGATAAACACAGGATCTGATTGGTTGAGATTTTCCAACTAAAATAAACAAATATTTGACTATAATTGTTATGCAAAACTTCAGCATTTTTTTCACATTAGTCCAAACTTAAATAACAAAAAAAAAAAAACAATGCAACATTTCTGAAAGCCATTACTTCAGTTTCAGTTGAGGTGGGATGTTCTGCTGCAAAATGTGTTTTCAAATGGCTTTCAGACAGCCTCCGTGCCCAGAGTAGTCTATAGGGTTGCTGATTAGTGTTAAGGTGGGTTCATGTCTGCCTTCTCTCGACCTGCCATGACATAGCCTGGCTGCACCCGCCGCCCTCCCACCACCTCCTTCTCTAGTCCACCCCACCTTAGAAGATAAATACCTGGAGGTGAAAGCTTGCTGCACATTCCTACTCTCAAACATATTCTCTTGATTTCAAAGTCAACTCCAAGGCCCTGGGGCCTTCGAGTAAAGTGGTAATTCTGAAGCACCTTGCCTTGGCTTGCTGAAATATGCATTAAACATCCACTGCTTACACTCAGATTAGAGGGGAAAATCTGTTCAGTGTGGAAAAAAAATTTCATGCCATGTATGTTCTTATTTAAGCTAAACAGTTTTCTTCACATTAACTGTGACTTTTTGCTGAATACACTGAATGTCCGTCTCTATGTCTGACAGCAACACTGACAAGATAAATTGACTTTTTTCTACAGAGGAATTAGAGAGATTAAAGTAAAGACCACACAATAAATACCTAAAATCCACACAACACTCAGAAGAGCAGCAGTTAGCTTTAAGTGGTTGTTAGAGATGGTCTCCAACAACACTGTTCTTTATGCAACAGTTTGCTAAAAAAAAAAATCATAAATCATCCGGGTGGAACATGTCCTGCCTCCACTCATAAGCCTTTTCCTAACACAGGAAGATATGGCAGCGACTTACTCAGCTCCACTGAGACAGACAGAGATCACATGGACTCATTGTGATTTCACGTTCAGTTATTACAGATCCAGCTGAATTATATATATATATATTTTTTTTTTCTTAACTATAACATTTGCTTATTCAAATCAGTTAAATTCTATTTATTTGTAATACCACAATTCTCAACACATCATCTCAAGGGTTTTTACAGAGACAATTCAATCGAATTATCCAGACAGATTGATTAAAAGTTTTCCATTTGAGGAAACCCAGTTGATTGCATCGAGTCACCGATTTGAAGGATTTGTTTCACCCAGCTGAGCATGTGGCTACATTAGACATTTGCTTGTGTTTTGCATGCATGCACCAACAGTGGTGAGGAAAAACTCTCTTTAAACAGGAAGAAACCTCAACAAGCAGGCTCAGTGTGAGCAGTCTGCTGCCGAGGCCGACTGGAGGTCAGACAGAAATCAAAATCAAATCTGAACAACCATTTATATTGTCTTTTAAGGTTGCAGAGTTTACTTAAAATCAGAAACCTTGGTATTCATATGAGAAGAAACCCAAATCTGTGATTTCTGCAGGCCTGTTTCAAACACATGTAACTTTTGACCAGTTTCTAGTTCAGATAAGCAAAAATATAAAAAGAAAAGTAGAAGAAAAACACATCTTCATCTGCTTTGGAGCTGCTTCTGTAAGCAATGACTATTTGGAAGCCCATATAACTCAGGAGCCAGGGAGCAGATTTTCCCTATCAGGGCAAGCACCTACTGGCATCACCAAAGGCAGCAACATTTGCTAAGGACTAAAAGTTTCCACTTGTAAAAAAATCTTGCTATGAATATTTGAAAAGAAAAAGTCAAAATATTTTTTTTTCAGTTATCTGGGAAAGCAGACACTTCCGAATGAGCTTTATTTATAGCAATATACATGAACTGAACCTATTCTTACGTTTTATTTAAACTTATTGGTAGAGAAGGGAACAAGGCTTTAAAAGTACAGATTTTGTTTTAAGAAATTAGTGTACATTTATTTAAATTATTCAAAATGATTCATACCAAGGACAGATTTAGGTTTTAAAGATATTTAAAAACCCAAAGTTTTTCTTCCTGACAGAAAACGAGACAGGCCTCTCTCAAAAGACAATATATCTTTAAAAAGCACCACATTTTGGTTTTGTTAGGAATTACTTTTATATAATAAAACAGCATTACAGTATGCAAACCCTTATTATAATAATGGTGGATTGTTTTTTTGTTTTTTTTTCACTGATATTTTGAGTATTCACTTTTGATGATGTGCTCCAAGTCTGTAAGGCTGAAAGTCTTCCCTATTATCACCCTAAATATTATATATAATTTATTATTATATATAATTTTAACATCTATAGATTTATTTTAAAAGATTTTCATACAAAAGGCAACATAATAATTTTGGAAAATCCCCTGATTTGTTTAATGTTATGCTGTGGATTAGTAATGGATGAATAACAACACAAACAAAACGTTATATATATATACATAAGACGGTATGCATCTTATTAATATTCAAATGTGCAATCAGGCATACAAGTTACTTATATCTAAATCTTGAATAAAAGATAAAAATCTAAAATTTGTATTGTATTGTGGCACCTCAGTTTTTCAAATACTCTGTAATAGAGATAAATCAACACATAAAACAAAGACAGAAAGTATTATAAAGGTGTGAAGGCAGAGAGATGTAATCAGTTAGCCAAGTTTGCACTTGTTTCTTAAAACATCTTCCTCAAAGAGAAAAAACTATGGGTGGGAGGGCGGTCTGTGTTGCCCTTAATACACTCTCTGAAGTTTCATTGTAGGTTTTGCACTCTTATTACCCTAAGCTGACGGCCTGTTAAGTGTGCGGACAGCTAATAACAAGGTGTAGTTTTTCCAAGTGTCAGCTTAAGGTCTATGAAGACCTCTGGATGCGTTGCGGACTTTCATCTTAAGCAGAAACAATGCGGTGGCAGGGCTGCAATTTCAATACACATAAAGGGCAGGTGTCTTTAGAGAGGGTGGTTGGAGGGATCAGGGATAGATACGTAATGGTAGCATTTGATACAAAAAATAAACACACATAATCAGATAAAGTCAGACAAAAAATTACACTGCGGCAGAAGGAAAATTACCTCCCACTCCAGTGCTGAGACATCGATACAGACAAATAGAATAAGAAGATATAATTAATAAAAGGCACTGACATTGTGATTTCCTCTCTGCTTGTAGGTCACTAGCAGTTGGCCACCAGTATTCATCAATAGGTACCCAACCTATCCTTTGTGGCAGTATACCAGGTTTGGTGCCCAAGCAGCTGCGCTTCTGCCGGAACTACGTTGAAATCATGCCCAGCGTAGCCGAGGGGGTGAAGATCGGCATCCAAGAGTGCCAACACCAGTTCAGAGGCCGGCGCTGGAACTGCACAACGGTCAACGACAATTTGGCTATCTTTGGGCCAGTCTTGGACAAAGGTGAAGCTGTATTTTTTTATGAATCAGAAACAAATGTACTTCCAATGCAATTTGTCTGTCTTATACATACCATATGACTGCACTTTCATGGTTGAGGTTTGTACTTTGGGGTTTAGGTTTGGTGGATATGTTAAACCCAAGGCATTAAAAGCACACAGTGCGCAAAACTTGAGAAAAAAACAATTGGTCACAAAGACATATAGTGATTCTACTCATCCTTTTAAGTCTAGTTCTGAATTCGTCAGAATTTTATTTACATAGCAGGTATTGGATAGTAAACCTGAATAGGAAAATCTTTGAAGAGTTTCACACCTCTCATACATTTTACTACACAATGAGGTGCAGGAAAACCCCAAAAACTTGAATGTAACTTATTTTTTGAATCCAACATAGACACCTTGTTTCAATCAATAAACCACTAAGGTTTAAAGGAGAAAAAAAGGATAAAAATTCCATTTCAAAATAATATTTTTTGTTGTGTTTAATTAATATATGAGTAAGACTGTAAGACTAAACAGAGTATGCTGAAACATAAATTATGATGTTTAACTTCAGTTCCTTTATTTTTTTTTAAGTATATTTGACCATCTACAAGACAAATATAAAACACTTTAGTTAAAAAAAGGAAAGTAAATTAAAATAAACGCGTCTCTGGAATCATTAATGCTTTCAGCGATTGTTCCTATTCTATTTGTCTTATATTTTTTGTACAAAAGATTTATTCTCCTTCTGCATCATCCATTATGTTGATTCAAATCCTTGTTTAAATAGTCTTAAGACTGAGCAAGCTCTGAGGGGCCTGTATGCATGAAAAGATGTACATAACAGGCCTAAAGCTAGTGAGTTCTGTCTTGTCTGAGTTATGTTTTGGAGGGGATCCCCTGCAGCTGTTGTATTTTCTTAAAAGGAACCTAGAACACAAGAATCTGAACCAAACAGAATTATTTATTTCCCTCAAAATATATAGGTTTCACTTCAGAATACAAAGACATTTTGTAGTCATGAAAGTAGGCTTTTGGAATCATCAAACCCTAAGGCATTTCAAAAACAAAGACATACTTTAAGAGCATAAAAAGCCCTAAATTTCTTTTTTTTCCTTCAGTAGCCTAACCACAAAACAAATTGCCGTCACTCTTGCACAATGAGTATCAAAGTCGTATTTTTGTTATGTTTTGATCCTTCTTTACAAGCTTTCTCATTGTGCCTTGGATCATTTTTCTGCCTTTATTGTTTCATTTTCTGTTTTCTTTATTCTATTTTTCTTTTTTTTCTGATTATTGATGTGGATTTTTGTCAATAGCTAATTTTCTGCCTTTACCTGGCCTGTGATTTGCCTTCCCTATCTAGACCTCTATTGCACTGCATTTATAAGGTCTTGCTAAACCATTCTTTAACATTTTACAAGGTAGATCCAAAATTCACAATGCTTTTCATCCTTTTTCAAACGATTTTCTTACGCCTACTGGTTCATATTTGGGGAGTGGGACGTAAATGTTGCATAATTTTTTAAACAATTGAAATATCAGCTTACATTTCTGAGGTCTCTCTGGCATATATATTTAGAACGTCTGTGTGAAACCTTCACAGCACCACGTTTCATTTAAATTTAATGAGAAAGTCTCTTGACTTGAAATATTTCCCACTCTTCTTTGCAAATAGCTCAGTTTAGACCCAGTCGGATGGATGATGTCTGTGAGCATCAGTTTTTAAGCCCACGTACAGATTTTTAAATCAGCTGGGCCAATTACAAGCCATGTTCCTGCTGGCAGTCCCCCACATTTGTCTGAAGTCTTGTGCAGGTACTGACAGATACTTCATCCAAGTTTCCATCAGCTCTTACCATTTTCTTTCCCCTAATAAAAAATATTTTAAAAAAGGTCTATAATATGATGGTTCCACCACAATGTATCACTATTTTATAGTTTCACACATGGCTTTTAATAGTATTAAAAATTCTTCACAGAATATAAGGTGCTTGAAATTAAAGACATTAAGCATATTTAGATAAATATGTTTAGTTTTTTTTTTGGTCATAGCGGGTTTTATTTTTTTCATTTTTAAATCTAAACATTAAAAAGAAACAGTAGCATTGCTTTTAGCAAATGAAAGCACACAAATCTGCAAACACCTTTTGATAATCACTTTTGACAGCATGTACTTATGCTTGACTTATACTTAGACAATCAGCAATATAAGAAACTCGCTGACGTGGAATAATAATTATGGCATACCAAAATGTAATAAATTCCTGAACACTTTTTTTCATCCATGCCCAAAGGGGTTGAGCTTTGCTGAATGTTATTGCACAAGGCTTATTTTCCAGTAAGCGACTGTTTCTTTCTTCATTAAACTTAACCAAGACCGCATCTGCTGATAAGCTACCTGACATGTTTTTTTTTATTTATTTTTTATCACTTAGCAACATTTCCAAATGTAATTTCAAACTTGCTTTTTAGTTTTCTGGATTTACCAAAGAATGTGTCTTTTTCTCTGTCATTTCGCTGTCATTTCTCTTCCGAAACTGGCTTTGAAATTTTGACTCGATTATGTTATATTTGGTTGAGGGTTGCAGATCTAAACTGGGTAGTTGTTTTACTTAAGAATGATGCAAATTTGATTTATGGCATTTGTATTTAATAAACTCTTGAGCCAGTTGATAGAAAAGGCTTGAACTCAAGTAGATGGCTAACGATAGAGGTTCTCAATCATGGTCCCATTGTGGTGCAAAATGCTACCACATCATTCTCATTGCCCTCCCCTCCCAGCTCTAAATTGCAGGGGTACTGACTGGAAAGAGAAGGCCACTACTGGGCTTTAGTAAATCATTTCGATTGGATTAAGGTCACTGGGGCCTTTAATAATGTGAGAGGTCAAAGTGGCTGGATTAAGTGCCTTTGTCGAAGGATGAGTAGAGTGGCTCAGGGACTCACAGGCCTTTGATAGGTTTTAGTCGAAGTAGGCTTCCATTTCATTGGATTTGATTGATGCTGGTGTTTGTCTGTGGGTTGAGGACATTGTCCTATCAGTGTCTGTTTGTCTGCTATTCAGACTGTTGTGTTCCAGTTTCCTCTTTGCCTTTTTTGTAAGAAAAAGCATGCACCTTGCTTACACCTAAAGCACAGTTTCAGCCCAACACTGCCACTGCTTGCCTTATCATCGTGATGAAGGCTGATGGATTAGCTTATAGGGTTAGAAGATGTCTGTTTAAAGAAATATTCATTTTGAAAGGAAAGCTAAAAGAATAAATGGAAAACATTTATTTAAATTTGTGATAATATCCCTGAAAAATGAAATCACACATTCTTGCCATGTCATACATAATGAAAGAAGAGAAAAGCAAATTCAACCTTTTAAATAAGACATATTCCTATTGGAACTCTCTCACTTAGACATGGGCTAAACCTCAAAATTTCTATCCATTGCCACACCTCACATCCCAAAGCCTGCCTCCAGGCTATGTCTGCGTCAGCACTCATTAATTTACATTAGCTAAGGTGTCAAAACATGCATTACTTGAATCTGCCTGCGATGAAAGGTAATTGAAAGCTTTGCAGGTGTTCTCAGTCTCTACAAGCAATTTTGAAGCTCTTGAGATCTTATTAGCTATCTGCAGACTGCCTACCTATTGAATTGGCATAATCACCTTTCTGATGGGGGTCGTATGAAATTATAAATTAGGCAGTTTAACAATGCTACAACTAATTAACATTAAATATATGTCGTTATAAAAAAAGGGAGGGGGGAGTTGCGACCTAGTGGAAAAAGCATTGCGCTTGGCCCCCAGAGGTTCTGAATTCAAGCCCCTCTCCCACGGACTGCCACTCTGGGTCCTTGAGCAAGGCCCTTAACCCCACACTGCTACCTGGGGGCTGCAGAGAAGCAGCCCAGTCTTCCCCAAGGGGATGGGTCAAATGCAGAGGTATTTTTTTTTCCAGTGTGAGATTAGTAATGTTAAATTATATTCACTTATATCTATTAAATATAAATATATATAAGTGTTGGCGTCTTTATAAGGACTATGTTTTATAAAAGTATTTCTACCTCTTAATCTTTATCAAATTTTATCACCTTAGTATCATAAATATCCTGATTCTTTTTGTTAGGATAAAAACAAATAATAATAATTCATAAAACACTTAACTTGAAAATCTGGAGAAAGAAAACTTTGGCAATATTTTTTTGGAAAGTCAGTAAAGATCAATCCAATTCCCTGGAACTATTCTGATTAGAATTTAGATGTCGACATTGACTGTGACTGTATGTTTTAAGTTGGTGCTCTGCTGCAGGCACAGCCACTTCAGTTAGAAGTCTTCTAGCATGTTTCTGCCCTTAATTATTTTGCTTTTAGCTCCATCTATCTCCCCCTTAACCCAGTTAGCTTCACTGTCTTAAAGAAAAATATCCCCACCAACATGATACTGCCACCATCAAGGTTCAGGGGGTGTTTAAGGTGTTGTGAATACTATGTTATTACCACACAAACAATTTTTTGCATTTTCAAATTTGGTCTTGGTGACAAGATTACCTTCTTCCTTTAATGCGATGTTACCTACATGGAATACATAAACACATTAAAAGAGCTCTTCCAGAATTCCCATTGGCCTCTTGGCCGCTTCTCTGAATAATGATAGTGTTACAATTCAATTAAATGTATTTGTATGGCACCTATTTACATGTCATCTTAATATCCTTTACAAAGACAATTAACCAGAGCATACATCATTGCATCAAATAACTTACTTTGCAGGACTTGCTTCTTCTGGATGCAAATGTGGTGACAGTAGACACATTTGCATTTTGTTGTTGACTCTACAGAAGTTCCTAACACATAGCATGCATAAAGTGAAGCAGAAGAGGAAAAACTTAATTTTAACAGGAAGAAACCTCCAGCAGTAGCAGCCACAGTGTGAGAGGCCTTCTGCCAGGCCTGACAGGGGGTTTAAGAAGAAAAAATACAAAAGGAACAAGAAGAACTGATCCATAAATAATTGGTATGTTAG